CATGTTCACAGAACCATCAAGTGTTTTGTTGCAAGTAGTCAACAGGGTTGAAAGAAACGTGTTGAGAAAAAAACGCCAAAGATTTGAGAAGGATCAAATGTGAAGTTGCCAGGAACCCATCATCCTCCAGTGGTGTCGTATCTCAGAACTGCAACCTACCTTGAGTGCCCAGAGACATGGCCGAGGTAAGGAAGGCCAAGGTAAGGAACTCAAAATCAACTCCCAAATCTACTGCCACTTTTTAAAAGACACTTTCTTCAAACAGTGGTGGGTGCAGGAAAAAGTCTGCATCTTTCAAGACGACCATGATTTCTACGCTCCATGGCATGGACCGAAGTGCTGCGCTGCGTGGCTATAGCCAGTAAAGGGCCTTACAGGGGGAAGAATAATGACATGGCCCCCCTTCCTCACCTGACCTAGAGGTTCCCATTGAGGACCTTCTTTGCAGTGAAGGAAAGCAAGACACACCTCTCCGAACTGCGTCTGGGAGGGCTGTGGTGGTTGCTGCTGCACAACCAGCCCATCTCCAACGCCTCCAGAGGCTGACTCCATGGATGGGAGCCTTCTGACTGTCACTGAAAAGAAGGGTGGCTACACTGATCGTTTTTTTAACTGTCAGAAATGTTTATTTGTAAAGTCTGAGTTGTTTATTATTCTCACTTTAACAGATGAAAGAGAAAGGAAGGGGCGCAACCCTCTCCTTGGCCACCCATCCAGTGAAGGTGTTGAGAGGCAGCAGGGACCTCCCAACACCTCCACCTCAGCCAGTCCCAGAAAGGGACTGTGCAGTGCAGTGACATCTCTCTACTAAAGCAACCCACAATTTTTGCAGCTAGACTCCTCCGGTGCTCCTCCAGGGGTGCAGGGGGAAATCATTCTCCCCAGGCTTACCTGGTGACACTATCAGAATCAAACCACTTCAAAGGGGAACTGGATGGTCATCTCTCCAATTCAATACTTTAGGGCCTACCAGTCTGTAAGGCAAGAGCCTACCAGTAATAAAAGAAACCCTAAGATGTGCTATTTATTTAACCACCACTACTCTTTCCTTGGGGAGGGGGGCTATATTTGCTTCACAATTTACCAACATTTATCAATTAAATGGTCAATGTTACTTTCATTGGAAAAAAATGATCCTGCTTTTCAGTTTCCCCAACATTTTACCTAGAAGGGCCTCATGCTCGGCTATGTGGAAGAGCACACAGAGACGGAGAAGGCTCACCTGTCCTATGTCCAGCATATCTGCATAGCTGAGCAGGGCCACTGGGATGTCAATTTCCTCATACTGACTCCGGTTACCAGCGGGGGGCACCTGATGAGAAGAGTAGAAAGGAAAGCAGCACCTAAATACGTTTCCACGTAGGAAACGCCAGCTCAATTTCTGTGGCCCGAAATCTAAACTCACCAGCATCTATTTAACAAGCATCAGGGCAGCTTTGTTCAACCTACTGTATATAGGGAGACTCGAAGATGCTGAAATTGTTACAGGACCTGCGTGTTTATGAACACAAGGCCACGAGGAGGAGACCAAAGAAAAGGGCAATACAGACAGGACAGAATCACCTTAAACCGTCACGAAAGGGTTGCGACCACGGCAGAACTTGCAGAAACGGCTGAACCGATGTTTGATTAGGGAGAGAGGAACAGCTACTGTTGTAAAAGGCTGGGTAAACCTTTTATGGACTTCATGCTACCAGTGGATGAAAACGAAGGGATGAGTGTACTGATTCTTGGGAGTTGAGGAGGAGAAGGGAGCCACGTGATGCAACTCAGACACGGGGGAAACAGTTTCAAGGCTGTGTAGGGCAACTGAAAGCCATTCCTTTTGTCTTCTTTTGGCTTTCTAACGCTCCCACAGTTTCTTGCTTTCTTTCTTCCATTACATCTTTCATCTTGGTGGAAACATTTCCTTATCCAAGATCACAGAGGGCAAAGGGGACGGTAGCCCCCCCCCCCCGCTTCCCTCCTGGGGAAGGTTCAGGTCAGGGGTCCCCAGACCGGGAGGGCCCCCCCCCCCCGCGAGCGGACTCACCAGCCTCTCCTTGCTGACGATCAGCAGCCCCCGGGCGCCGTTCACCTGCGCCAGGCGGACCTTCTCGTAGAAGGTGCAGTTGCCCCGCATCACCATGGGCACCGCGTTGCCGAAGCCGCCCTCGGGCACCTCGGAGGCCGCGCACAAGACCGACACCGTCTGATCCTGCAGCGCCAGCAGGGACTGCGGGGGAGGAGGAAGCGGAGGAAGGGGAGAGAGGCCCCCCGGGGGGGGGGGGAGCCCTTCCGTCAGGCGGCCCGGCGGGGTCCCGGCCCCTCCCTCCGCCCAGCCCGCCCTCCGCCCGCGGGCGCCCACTCACCGCCTTGCCCAGGTCGTGCGGCAGGTGGGCCCACTGCGAGTTGAAGAGGATGCAGTAGTCCTTCCCGCCTCCGCCCTTCTCCGGGAAGACGCGCGCCACGCCGAACTCTCCGGAGACCTGGGGCGAGGGAGGCAGGACAGCTCGGGGCCCCGCCGGACGGAAGGACGGGCCCTCTCCTCCCCTGCCCCTCCCGGGGGGCTCACCTGCGCCACCAGCAGCGCCAGCACCCACCCGCGCGGCCCGCCCGCCGCCATGGCCGCCTCCCCCTCTCGTCTCCCGCGGCGGCGGCGGCAGCAGCGGCGGCAACGGCGGAGGGAAGGCAGAGCCGCGCTAGGGAGGAAGCGGACGCCCGTTACTTAGCAACCTAGGAAGCTCCTCCCCGGCCGGCCGGGGAGCTTCGCCTCTTCGCGGCCGGAGCGGCCTCCCGTGAAGGCTTCCGGGCGCGGGAAGGCGGGGGCCGTGGCGGGGCGGCCCGGGAGCCCCTCTCCAGTCTCGCCGCGGCGCCGGAGCGGAACGGGGGGTCGGCCCGAGCAGCCTCGCGCGAGAGCCCCGGAAGTCTCGGTGGCCCGCGGAGGCGACTGCCGGTCACGTGACCGCGTTCCCCGTCGCTAATTGGAGAAGAGGCGAGAGGGCAATCCCGGCGGAGCCGTGGGCGGAAGTGACGCCACGAGTTCCCCGGGCGCGGGATCCCCGGCGAGAGCAAGATGGCGGTGAGCGGCGGCGGCGGGGCGCTGGGCGGGCGCGCGTGTTTGGGCGGGAGGGAAGGGCGGCTTTGCTCCCCTCCGGGTGTCGCCGGACCTTGACGCCCTTCTGCTCCGCCCGCAGGACAAGGAGAAGAAGAAGAAGGAGAGCATCTTGGACCTCTCCAAGTACATCGACAAGACCATCCGCGTCAAGTTCCAGGGCGGCCGGGAAGGTGAGTGGCGGCGGCGGCGGCGGCCGGTGGGATGGGCGTCCTGGGGCCGCACGGAGAGTGCCGGGCATTTCTCCCTTTCTCTCCCCACAGCCAGCGGCGTCCTGAAAGGCTTCGATCCGCTGCTCAACCTGGTGCTGGACGGCACCATCGAGTACATGAGAGGTGGGTGCCCGGAGCCCCCCTCCCCGTCCTTCCAGGCCGGAGGGAGGGAGGGAGGGAGGGAGGCGGCCCTGGCCCGGGGGGGGGGGCTTTCGGCTCTCCCCACGAGGGGCGGGAGATGGGGGGGGGGTCCTGGCCGCTCTCGGGCGGGGGAGGGGCTTCCCTCTCGGACGTTTCATGACCCAGCTAGGTGGCCTCATGGGGGACATGGCGGGTGGGGAGTTCCTGCCCCCGCATCTGCCGCTCGTGAGCCAGAGCCTTTGCCCAGGGCAGGGACCCCGGCCTGGCGTCTGCCTGCCCACATAACGCTTTCTGATTCGCTTCCCCATTCAGATCCGGATGACCAGTACAAACTCACGGAAGACACCCGGCAGCTGGGCCTGGTGGTCTGCAGAGGGACCTCCGTGGTCCTCATCTGCCCGCAGGATGGGATGGAAGCCATTCCGAACCCCTTCATTCAGCAGCAAGATGGCTAATCGGTCTGTGGCTCAAACCTTGTGGGGAGTGGAATGCGGTTTCTGGAAAGGAGCCACATTTGCAGGAGAAATTATTTTTTTATGCTCATTTTGTATAGGAGGAGGAGGACCTTATAATGTTTTTTCTTATTTTGTGTGACTGTGGGTGGGCCAGGAAATAGTCTTACAAGAGAGCCGATGCCTTTTGTCTGCAGGCAGGCTTGGACCATCTTTCTGCTGTAAGTGATCGAAAGCACATTGGAAGGTTTGGTAAAATACGGCAGACTATTCTGGTCCGCCCCTGTTCCTTTAATTTCTGGATAAACGATGTGATCGCTCCCTGGTTTGGTCCGGTGTCGTTGGGCCTTCATCTTGGTTGACAGCTCTGTTTTCTCAGGAAGGCATCTAGGACAAGTGACCAGCAGCCACATGAACATTTAGTCATAAAGAAAAGGGGATAAAATTTGTGTTGTTTGTCATCATTCATCTTCCTTTTCATTCCTCACTGAAGGAGGAGAGTTTATTATTTGACAAATAAAACACATCCTGAATCTTCTCACAAGTTGAATGTAGGAGAATGTGGAAACTCCTGGATAAGAGCACATTGAGAAAGAAATTATAAATGGTGCCAATTTAAATGGGCTTGAGGCACAACAGCCGTTTCTTCCAAATGATTCCTGGGACAGAATCTTCAACCTGGCCTGGATCTGCTTGCTTGGTAACAAATTGTCCAGCTTTCCTTGTTGGGTGAGAATTTGATCCACCGCAAGAAGGTAATTATTCCATTTACATCCTGGGCCAAACAAGTAATGGCTGATCTTCCTTTTCCAACTTCTCGCCTCTCTCTGAGCAAGTTGTGTTTCTGTGGAAGGGACAAGGGCAAGCAAGGGCTTGCATGCCAGTCACAGGGCTGTGGTGAAAACCTGTGTTTGAAAGAAAAATACCCACCGGCTGCAGTTGTTGGAAAAGTAACCCAACGTGTATTGATAACAATTGTGTATATCAAAATACAAGATTTTCCAAGCCAACTCATGGAGGGATAATTTTTGACCGTAAATATTTTTGTACTTAATACCATATTACGGTTATGATGAAGAACATGTTGAGGACTAAGCCGACTACTTAATGGACAATCAATAAAATGGATGACTTTGCTGAGTAAAAGAGCCTGAGGGAAGAAAAATCTGAAATCTCACCTTCCAATTTCCATTGAGGTTCATCTCGGCCCTCTAAGGGGGCTTCCTACCAGCTTTTGTCACTGACCAATAACATGAAAGGTGTGCGGTCTGAATGAGAGTAAAAGTGAGGTCCTTAAAATAAAGCCTTTAAAATCCACTTTAGGCTCTTATAGGATCTGAAGGTCGCTGACTGCTCTGATGCTGCATAAAAGATTCCTAATTTTAAGAGTTTTATAACGGAGGACAAACTTGGTAACACCAAGGAGGCTGAATCACAAAAGATAAGGATGTTAAAAAGGAGAACAACACAAATGCCAGTCAAAGATGGTTTTTCGGGCAGTTTGATCTGCTCCATGGCCGACTGTGGCTGGGAGGGAGACGTAGCCTCCCAGCTATAGTCCAACCCATCCTTCCCACTAGGGCCAAGTCTTGAAATGCCGGCCCTGCAATGTTTGGGTAAGAGTCAAAGACTCAGCTGAGCAGCTATTGACATTTCACCCTGTTATGCAACTCAAGTGTGGCACACATTCTTAATACTCCCGTCCCTTTTCCCTCTTCCCCCCATAACAGCCCTGTGAGATGTGCTGCCGTGTCAGAGAGAGAGGCGCAAAAGTCATCCAGCCGGTGCTCATGCCTAAGGCGGGACTGGAACTGATGGTTTCTAGGCCTTACACCTTCACCCCGATACCACACCGGCTCCCCACTTAGTTGCCTCGTATCACCCATTTCTAACCCCCAGGATTGGTGGTGTTCCTCCTCCTCTTGTATCGAAACAGTCATGCTTGCTCTATGCCAGCAGTTATCAACCTGTGGGTCACAGAGGTCACCAAAGACCATCGGGAAACACACATTTTCCATGGTCTTAGGAACTGAGAGACCAATTTTATGGTTGGGGGTCACCATAACATGAACTGTATTAAAGGGTCGCGGCATTGGGAAGGTTGAGAACCACTGCTCTACGCGGACAGGCCAATGAGATTGGCACCAGGCAGCCAGTGGGGTTGAGGGGTTGGGACGTGGGTCCCCGGGTGAAGGAAGCTGGTCTCTACGTTCAGGGTTGGAGTGTCCGTATCGGGCCCAGCAACTGCTCTGCTGGCCTTTCACCATGGGGTTTGAATGGGAGCCAAGGTCACAGGACAGGAGGGTGTTTTATTCTGGGTTTGGCTTCAGCCATCCTGCATGGATCCGTCCCTGTGGGTGGAAATTCAGGCCAGAGTGTGACGCAGTCCTGGAGATGGGGGGGGGGGGAAGTGCTTCCCAGTCAACCGGTGGGCCCTGGCCCGCCACAGCGGCTATTTTGAGGCCATGTCTGGGAGTGCGCAGAGCGGCACATCTGGGCCCAGGGGGTTGAGGCGGAGCCCTTCCAGGCACTTCTGGACTTCACCCGGACAGGCAGCCTTGGCATGGCCCCTGGCAATGTCACCAGCCTTCTGCAGACGACCAGCTTCCTGCCCCTGGAGGCTGCCAAGAGGCGCTGTGAGACCTTTCTGGAAAGAGCTGCATGTCTCCAACTGCCTCGGCCTCGGGGCCTACGCACTGCACTTTGCCTGCGCGGCACTCGGCTCTGCTGCCCTCAACGTGGCCGTCGGCCACTGGGCCGACGTGATGACCCACGGCGAGGTTGAGGAGCTGCCCAAAGCCACTCTGATGGAGCTGCTGCAGAGCGATGAGCTCTTTGTGGCTCATGAGGACGTGGTCTTTGACACAGTGATGCAGTGGGTAGTGGCTGCCCTGCCCGGGCAGGCCATGGATTTCCTGGAGTTGGTGGGCCTGGTGTGGGTCCCCTTCCTCAGCCTCCCCTTGGCCTCCTGGTGAAGCGCAGCCAGCGCCCCGGGCTGGATGCTCCGGCTCAGCTGTTGAAAGAGCTGGACCGCTTCCCACCCCCCAACTGGCAGGATGCTGTCCGAGCCCCCTTGCGAGTCGGAGGTATGAGACTCTCTTTGTGATGGCCGGGAAACGGGACCACGAGCAGCAGGAGCTCTTCCACTGCCAGGCCTCCTCGCCACTCAAGCGCAGAGACCTCACCCAGTATGTTTTGGCTGTCCTGGGCAACGCTCCTTCCCTCGGGGTGGGCTCTGGGCTGCAGCCCCATAACAAGGGGAGGGGAGGGGAGAAGAACTGCCAGAGCAGCTCCTGGCTGGCTCTGCTCTCTAGAAGGCCCCTCGCTGTCATCGGAAAGGCTCTTGGGCTGCCTGCCCTGAAGCCGGTTCCTTGCTTTACGGTTGGTGGGCCTTTGGCCTCCCTTCCCAGTGCCCAGGGACGACCTGGAAGGAAGTGGGAGCTGGGATTTGAATTCGGGACTTGGCTCCAAGTCTGTAGGGGCTGCAAGCTAGAAGGTGCCCAAGTGGGAGTCTCTGAATGCGCTCTGGGCAGTTGCCGGCAGGGCAGAGCTCGAGCGCCCCCCCCCCCCCGCAGGTGGCTGGCCAGGGTGGGGCCTGGAGAAATCAGGGGGGTCCCTTTCACTGTCAGAGCGAAGGAGTTCGAAGCCCTTTGAGAGGCCATTAGGTGTCTGGCCAAATAGGGAAGGGATTGTTCTGAGGCAGCCCACCTTGAGATGCCAGGCCTTGGGGGACAGCTGCCGCTGGGGCTCCCCTTGCACCCTGGGCTCCAGACAGTGCTCCTCCCCCTCCCCCTCGGTGGGTGGGTGGGTGGGAGTCAGCCTGCCCCACATGAGGAGGCTCAGCAGGGTGCTCCTGTGAATGTGCCCGGTCCGCTGTCAGTGCCGAGGGTCCCAGGGAGGGCAACGGAGGGAGCCTTTCCTTCTCCCCACCAGGCAGCCTGCTCTTTGTCACGGGGGGGGGGAACTTCCGGGAGGAGTTTTTCTGGGCCCCCGTGGACTGGGTGTGGATCTACAACAGCTGGGATGACAGCTGGCTGGAGGGCCAGTCATGGAGGAGGCTCGCAGTAGCCCCTGCACAGTGGGGGTTGGCTTCCACCTGCATGTAATGGGGGGGGGGAGCACCCCAGAGGGCATCACTCCCAGTGTCGAGCGCCTCACCCTGGCGGACTCCTCCTGGAAGCCCACCAGTCCCCTGATCCACCCCGGGGAACGAGCCGGAGCCACCAGTATGGGCACACGGATCTACAGTGCGTGGCATGGATGAGAATGGGGATGTCTGCTGGGCAGTTCAGCGGCTGGACATAGAGACGGACATGTGGGGTGTTGTTTCTCACCGCTGCCAAGGTGAGGCTGTGCCGGCTTTCCTGGGGTCTTTTGAGGGAGGGGTGTGGGCTGCAGAGGGTGGAGGGACTTAGAGGTTCCCTGGTGTCTTGTGTGGCCAAAGGGGAGAGGTCAGGGCAAAAGGGGGCCATGGGGCCATTTCTGCCCTTCGTCAGATGTGCTGTTTTGAGGAAAGACTCCTTACTCATGCCAGGTTCAGGTAAACGAAGCTACTGTTTGAAAGGCCACCCCAATGGGTGCTCCAGAAGACCTCCAAGGTCCCTTCCAGCTCTGTTATTCTATTCTGGTCTATTCTACTCTATATTCTATTATATTCTACTCTACTTTCTCTTCTCTTCATACAGCTCGACAGCTGCTCTTTGGCTGCTGGCAACCCAGGCCCTGGGGGGTGGGGTTGCCTTTGTGGGGCAGGGGAGCTCCTTCAGTGGGTCCAACTAGCTCCAGCAGTGCTCTCCACCCCGCCCATCTGCCCTGTTTCTCTTCCCTTCAGGTATGACCTCTGTGTGGCAGCCTTGAATGGGACCCTCTACACCATCGGTGTGTGTGTGTGGTGTTCCGCTTTGACGTCGGCACCGTCGAGTGGACCCCCGTGGAGGACGGTGGCCTGGCTCAGAAGTTCTTTGAAGGATGCAGCTCAGCCAATGGACACATCTATCTGCTGGCAGAGCGGCGGGGGAATGCTGCGCTCCTAAACATGGTGATTCTGGACCCCTACAAGGAAGCATGCCAGGAAGTGGGTTACCGGCTCTCCTGCCCTCTCCCCATCCACGGAATGGGCTCTGTGCGCAGGTTCAACACCTGGAGGTGCCAGGCACAGTGAGGGGTGCTGCCTCCTCCCTTCCGAAGAGATCCCCATGGCAGAGATCGCCCTCCACGGAGGGTACATCTGAGCCCTCCTGTTCTGCTGACATTGGCCATAAGACACGGGGGGGGGGAGGGGGATTCCCTTCACAGATCCCTAGAATGGGAGCCGCCTTGGAGATCAGCAGGGCTGTTCCCTGGTGTCAGTGCAGGAACCCCCAGCCGAAGGCCCTCAAGCCCCCACAAAACCAATCCCTGCATTCAGCCACCCCAGCGGATCCCACTAGCCCCCAACCGCTGCTCTTCGGGCCCCATCTCACCTTGCTTGCTCTCCCCTGGAGAGACCCCCCCCCCACATTTTCCAATATCCTTTCTAAAATGTGTTTCACACGACTGCCCTGCTGAAACGAGGGTCTCTTGTGGTCTTGGTTTGACCGATTGATTTGAGTTTGTCAAAGAAATATAAACATGGACGTGAACACAGGAAATGGGTACGCATAAACGGGGATAGTAGGAGAGGGATGGGAGGCACGCTGGTGCACCTCCGCATGCCCCCTTCCAGGCCTCTTAAGAAAGGGGTGAGGCGTGATGTTGGGATGTCATTGCTACGATTGTAGGGTTTTCCTGCTTCCATACCTGGCGCTTGCCGGAGTTTCTTCTGTGCCTCTTTAAACCTTCACTTCCTGGCTTAAGTCTTGGTGGCTCCTGTCGTCCCCTGCCGGGCCTTGCTGTAAGTGCGAGCAGGAGGAGGGAAGTGGAGGTGCTGGACTTGTTCTCCAGGGAATCAGTGATTTTGCGAGTTCATTTATATTTCATTTTGTTTTTTTATTAGTCTTTTCAAATTTTAGGCTTATAAATACAAGAGAACATTTGTAATTCAGAGTTGAACTTCAGGATTTTTGGTGCTTTCTTTACTTTTTTTTTTTTTTTTCAAATGTTTCATTATCCAACAAGGTGACATCATCTGTTTTAGGCATGTTTTTAAGTCATTGGTTTGACCACCTATTTATTTGTGTCATGCATTTATAAATCTTTAATAGTGACATTTGAGTTGGTTTATTACTTATGGTTTATGAATACATTTATTTTAAACTTAAATTATCTCCATCTGAAAGTTAAGAGGGATACTAAGTTGGAATGTAAACGGTGTGCAAAATAAGGCACTCCAGGTGGCTTCCATACAGACAGGAGAAACACGGGGTGAGCCCTACACGGAACGGGGGCCACGTAACGCTGGCAAGAGAAGGACGGGTAAACTGTTCATCCACAACGACACCCACTCAGGACTCGCTAAGGCAACGAGGTAACACCTTCAGCGCAGAGATGACAGAATCTGTTCATTTGTGGAACCCCGGGCCTTGGATAATGTTGAGTTATTGTATGTAATTTTAAAAGGCCTCTGAGTCAAAGAAAAATGGATGAAAAATTGAGGGCGGGGTTTCTTTCAATGTTATTTAATAAAAAATAAAAAATACCATCGCTAACCAGGATGGGAGCGCCTCCTTTCCGTTGGTGTCCGGGGTCAGGTCTCTCCTTCAGACCGAGGGGCTGGCGCAAGAATACCCACGAGGCGGCGGGAAACGCCCACTCCACCCGGGGGCAGCATGGGCCAAGGGAGCCAAACGGCGGAGGCCACTGGGCGCCTGGGGCTTAGAGGCGCTTGCGGGGGACGATCACGGGGATGATCCATCAGACCCCTTTTGCTTGGTCCCTGCGGGCCAGGAGAGCCTCTCGGAGTCGCCCGGCTTGGATGTGCTTCGACGGCAGCAGGATGTGCCGGCACGGTCGGTCAGAAGGCCAGCGCATCGGCAGCGGAGTTTGGCGTCTACGCTTTCCTGCCAGGCAGGGCAAACTGGGCATCCGTGACGCGTTCAATAGTCGCGGGGCTCCCTTCAGCGGGCGGAGGCTCTCAGGCCGGAGGGCCGGGCCGGCAACGCGGGGCGGCGTCGCGAAGCAGCAAGTCTTCACGGGGCGACCAGGGCCGGGCATAGCCGCCGCGCTGCAACAGGAGACGGTTGAGGGTCTGCTCGAAGTTGACGTGGTTCCGCGCCATGAGCAGGTACTCGCGCCGCTCCAGCAGGTGGGGGCAGTCACAGGTGTTGGGCACCCAGAGGTACTCACGCGAGCGCAGCGGGAAGCGGTTGCGGTACGTCTGCAGCACCTGCAGGTCGTAGCGTGTCTCGGAGCCCACGTAGCGCTTCGAGAGGATCCGTGCGCGGAAGACTGCCGTGAAGAAGCCCGCCCGCCGGTCAGCCAGTTAGAGCAGCAGCCGTCGCCCCTCGCACCCCCCTTGTCCGCAAGGGACGATGGAGGAAACCTTCCTGGCGCGGAAGCCGGCTGCCCCGGGATGCGGACTTGGCGCGCTCCTGTTTTGCACGCCACCGCCGCAGTCCGAGGCCGCCTGCCTGCGGCTCCTCCAGTGCGCCAACGAGGCACAGCCGAAGAGCCGCTATAAGCGCAGACGTCTTCCCAGGCCATCCATGCCGATTTCTGTGCAGCCTGAATGGAGCCTAAGATGGACGGACGGACGGAAGGAAGGCGGCGGCGTGGGAGACCCGAGTTCTGTGCGGGGCGCAGCAGGAGCTCGGCCCAGCGCAGCCGATTTCTCCGTCAGCCCAGCCCGCCAAGGGGGAAGACTACCTACCGAAGTCGCTGTTGCAGTAGTGGTGGAGGCGTTGCGACTTCCCTCTCGGCGGCTCGCACTTCCCGCAGGGTCCTGCAATGCCAGGAAAGCGAGGGAGACGGTTAGGGTTGGTTTAGCCTGAGCCGCTGCTGCTGCTGCTGCTGCTGCTGACAAGGAGGAGAGGTTTGGGCCTCCTCCTCCTCCTGGATTAAGGGCAACCAGTGGGGGTGGGGGAGCAGGGTGCTTTTCCAACGGCCTGGGGCCCACCCATCCCCTCGGACTTTTTTGATGATGCCAGCTTTTTTTGGGGGGGGGGCAGTTCCACTACAGAATCTCAGTGATTTCTTGACTGCAGATGTCACAGCTGTGAGAGCCTGGTGGAATTTCACCTGTTCACTGTCCTCCTGTTTTACTGAGGAGCTCCTGAAAATGCAACGGGTAAATCAACTCCCAGACTGGAAGCAACAGTGACCAGCTCCAACCCCCCCTACTTTGGAGCCTCAGAAGGGGAAGGGGCTGTTGGGCTGCCTGTTCCTTGTGGGGGAGAAATAGACCCCCGAGAGGCCTTTGGGGTGCCAGTTATACACCGTGTGCACAGTTATTATAGGCAGGTGAGTATTTTGACCATGTCATCCTTTGTATGCATATTTCCCCCCTCCAAGCTGCCCACAACACTTGAATGCTTAGAAGATATAAGCAGATCGGGTGATTTGTGTAATGAGGGAGGGTGTAATGGCCCAAGGAGCTCAAGCAGCCTATACCAAAGTGTACATAATTATTAGGCAGCCCAGGATTTCTACGCTCCATGGCATGGACCGAAGTGCTCCGCTGCGTGGCTAGCCAGTAAAGGGCCTTACAGGTGGAAGAATAATGACATGGCCCCCCTTCCTCACCTGACCTAGAGGTTCCCATTGAGGACCTTCTTTGCAGTGAAGGAAAGCAAGACACACCTCTCCGAACTGCGTCTGGGAGGGCTGTGGTGGTTGCTGCTGCACAACCAGCCCATCTCCAACGCCTCCAGAGGCTGACTCCATGGATGGGAGCCTTCTGACTGTCACTGAAAAGAAGGGTGGCTGCACTGATCGTTTTTTTGACTGTCAGAAATGCTTATTTGTAAAGTCCGAGTTGTTTATTATTCTCACTTTAACAGATGAAAATAAAAGAGTGAGATGGGAAGGTTTTCATTTAGTTGCATAATAATTCTGTACACTAATGGTTGCCCAATAATTGCGCACACATAGATATTCTAAGAAAGCCATATCCTCACTTTTACTTTCTTAAAAATATTGAGGTTTCGATTGACGGAGAGGACTGTAGTTATTCATTGATAAGATTAATCCTCCAGAATACAGCTTGCCTAATAATTGTGCACACAGTGTAGGCAGGTTCTCCCTGGAGATGAAGAAGAATTTTCTAATAGTAGAACCATTCCCCAGTGGGACCAGCTGCCTCGGGAAGTGGGGTGGAGGGCATCTCTTCCTTTAAACAGAGGCCGAAGAGGCACCTCTTGGGGGCTGTAGAAGAACCTTCCTACACTGGGCAGGGGATTGGTCTGGGTTGGGGGTCCCCAAACTTGGCAACTTTAAGACTTGTGGACTTTAACTCCCAGAGTTCTCCAGGCTGCAGAGCTGGAGAATTCTGGAAGTTTAAGTCATCACGTCTTAAAGTTGCCAAGTTTGGGGACTTCTGGATGAAGGGTGACTTTCACCCTTAAGCTCTGTGAGGAAAGAGCCCACTCCCCAATGCTGCCGATCTGAAGTCTCTGTGATCTGGAAGTGGTTCCCAGCGGGAAAGGAAAGGAGACCCTCAAATGGCCCTCAAGTGTCTGGAAGAGAGCAGAGAAGCTCCTGCTAGACCCTTCCCTTTTTTTTTTTTTACCTAAAGGTGCTGACTATCTTAAATTTTAAAGAACAGAGGATTCCCGCTGATGGATGAAATGGAATATGATGTTTCTTCATTCTTTCAGGCCACATAAATTAACCGCAAGTCAGTGAACTCTGTGCAAATCCAGGATTGAAAGAGAATGAATCCAGAGTGGAGTCTCTGACTTCCAGGGTGTTACTGGCAAGGAAATGTGAAATCAATTTCAAAAGTTAAATGGGAGGCCAGCTCAACTGTTGGAGAAAAACTGGAGAGGCGGAGCAGGGTGGGAGTGGATGACCTCAAGGCCCCCTTCCCACACTTTCAGAGTCTGAGCTTGCTAGCTAAGGGTTCTCCCCTTCACAGGGCTATCTGCCTGCCCACTCATGAGCGTCCCTTTCTAAGGAAGAGCACAGGGGCCCAGCCCAACCCGCCCCCCCCCAAAGAAAGGCCTGAGCCCTCTCCCAGGAGCAGCCCAGGGGACGACCTGTTCGGCTGCTTCTGAGCTGCATTAACAAAGGGGAAAGTAGCATTTGGGAAGTTGGGGTGGCATCGCTGGGCTCGAGGATGCTACTGAATGTCTGTGGGCCTTTGGGGGCCACAGCTGTGGTCTGGGGCCAGCTGTTCCACCTAGAAATCTGTCTTGTACATCACTTTTCTTCCTACATCTGTCAGAGGAAGAGGAATGGACAGGCTGGATGATTGGGGGGCTCCCTCCTGCCCCTGAGCTACCTGGCGCTGTAGGAGTCCTCAGGGGTGCTGGGGTGACCTTCCGCGGTGCCTCCTTGGCCATCTCCTGGGCCTTGGTGAAATGGCGCATCGCTGCTGTGGCTTCAGGAAAGTCTGCAGGCTCTTGTGTGTGCTGGGCCTCTACCTCCCTGGCCTGGGGCTGGCGCAGAGCACGGGCCTCCTCCCCCTGTGCACGGTGGACGGTCTGCTTCCTTGGCCCCCAGTACTGGTAATCTATGCTGAGATTCTCCTCCTGAAAAAGGACCTGGCAAAGATCCAGGGGTGGGGGGTGTTAGCAGAGGCCCAGGCATAGTTGCAACCCCCACCCCCCCCTCCAGCTACCCGCCCTGGCAAAACTGCCCCCGGGCCCATGCCATTTTCCTCCTTGCGTGCCAGTTTAGAGAACCAGCAGAAACCAAAGAAAGATGTTCTGTGTGCTTTCCCCACGTCTCTAGGGTGAGGCCCACGAGATCATCGGTCTGTCCCAGAGGTGGCCTTCTTTTTTGTAAATGTGTTTTTATTTTCCATTTCCATTTCGTACAGTCACATATATACTGTGCATAACCGGGGCCATATAACATTAAACAATAAACANAGAAAAATTAGAGAAAAACAGTATACATGTGAAGTCACATTGCATTGAGATCTAACACTTCGTGTCTAGCCCTGCCTGCCTCCCTCCCTCCCTCCACCTTCTCTGAGCTTCTCAGCCTTCCAGCTTCTCACCGACCATCCGTCCCTCAGAAGAGGGTCCCTCTCTTCCTGCCCGTCACGGGTGGCCTTTGCTCTCTCTCTCAGCCCAGTCCCCGTGAGCTTTTCATGCTGCTCCTTTCCTCCATGACTTGGTCCCTGGTTCAGCCCTGTGTCCTCCTTGATCCCCCCTTGTTTCATCACACGCTCTCCTTCCTAAGTCCCCCCCCCCCGGCTTCTAGTTTCCTTCCAGGTTCTCCTGGCGGCACCCTCCCCTCCCCCGGTCTTAACTTCCAGTTATGTCACTCCAGCCACTTCTAAGACCCGTCCTCACACATGCCAGGAAGGGGGACAGGAAAATGCCTGACTTTTTTGAGGAACACCCCCCCCCCCACCGGGCCATGCCAGGGTCTCCATGCCAATTCAAGGACTGGAGGAGTTCCCATGCAATGCAGCTCCGAGGAAGGGCCCATTTTCTGTCTCTTTCTGCTGGAAGATTAACCGAAGGCTGGCCCTGTCTCTTCCTTCACCCTCTTTCCTTTCTCTCCCGCCCCCCTTTCAGGGCCACGAAGGAAGCTTGCTCTGGCATCCGCTCTCCAGAGTCCAGCCTGAATCCCCTCATCAAACCTGCTCTTAGATTTAGGGCCAATCCTTTGCCAGCTGTGTCGACATGCAGTTCTCCTGCCTGAAAAATGTTGTGCTTGAGAGGCCCAGTCAACGTTTCCTACACTTCCTCCCCCCTCCCTCCCTCCCCCACGTCCTTCACCAAAGGAAGCAAGGACATCCCCCCCCCCCACCATCCTTCAGCTTGCAAAATGCGCCCTCGGTTCTCCCCTTGTCAGAGTTCACTGAAGCGCCGCTGCACCGCCAGCCGGGAGCCTCTGTTTCAGCCGCACACCCTCCCAGTTGGGTACAGATTGTATTTCCCGGTATGCGCTTGTCAGCTCCAGCCTGTGAGATTGGATGTGACGTGTGCAGGGGGTGGGATGGGACTGGAGGGCACATTGACAACACAGGTGCGATAGAACGTGGGCTTGACATCCGCAACTCTGTCATTTGCCCAGTGGTGCGTGTGTGGTCCTTAGAAAGGTGCGATGCCTTTGGGGTGGGTGTGTCTGGATACGTTCCATTCAGACAGATCCCAGACACTTGTCCTTTCGACGAATTTCACAAGGCGCCTCTCCCACCTTAACCGTCTTTTACGTCTTGCTTTTGGCCTCCAGGGCCCCCCGGGGGCATCTGCCTGTTACTTAGGAGTATTTTTGTGTTACTCTTGCGTGCCAAGAACCTTTTAGACTCTGGTGTGACTCTATCCAGGAGTGTTCAGTGCCCCTCCATGG